TGAGCAGCCTTCCAGACAGAGGGAACTGCAGCACAACCTTTGCTGCCCTGCGTATGGGAGGCTTGAAAGGAAAATGGAACAATTGTGCTGTAGGGAAGGATCTTGGCATCACGACTTCAAAGGCATCAGCCAGGTGGAATTCATGTCACAGCCCTCCCTGACACTGCTGAGAGCAAGGTTTGGTGTGTGAAGTGTCAAAAGAAGGCAAAGCGGTTCCTTTCAGTGAAGCTGTGCCGATTTGCTCCCCCTGAGGGAGTCGCTGATGTGAAGAACGAAGGCTGGCTTTGCAGGAGCTCAGGAAGGAGCCCAAGGGCTCCTCAGCTCGTGGGGCAGCAATAAATGGAGACAATTCACAGCTGAGATCTCTGCCCGCTTCACCAGCTGAGCTATCACTTCCCATCACGCTTCCCTTCAGGAATATTGGATTTGGGACTTCACACCTTCCTCCTGTGCTCGTGCAGATGAGGATTTCAGCATTTATCTCGCTGTCATGTTCAGCAGTGACCTGCTCTCCAGCACTGCTGGGGCACCTCAAGCCGAGCTTTGCTCCCAAAGGAGAAGCTGATTTGTGCGATGGATGCACGGAGTGAACTCGTGCCCAAGCAAAGGGAAATCACCACCTAGGCAAAGTGCTGATGGAATGGGAAGGTTCTCCTGTCTTTCCTTAGAAAAAAAGAGGATGGAGGAGGGGCAGGGAAGCCGAGCTTTGAAATTTTAATAAACTCAGCCATAAAATACAAAGCAATGGAAATGGATATGGCGCCTGGCAGTGGTCAGAAACCGCTCCTGACTGTATATCAAGGCAGAAACTCTCCGAGGGCTGCTGCAGCCCCTGTTCCTGTTTAATTGAGAGGAGTCAGGTTTCCTGAGTCAGGTGGCTCTGAAAATACTCACAAGGAATCACAAAATGGCAAAAATGACATTTCAGGGAATATTCCTCCGAAGGAAAATCCATAAACCTGTCTGACAAATCATTGCCCTGCTCAGCTCCATGTTACCCAATTTAACAGGGGCAAAATCCTGAATCCTGTCCTGAGCCAACAGCTCTGCCTCACTCGGGCTGAGGGAATGCAGGGCTGACTGGGAATCCAGGGAATTCTGTGGCACTGAGTTAGAATTCCATGCCAGGTCCTGCTGATAAAGGGAATTAAAACCCTCTGGACCTCTCCAAGAAGTCTGTGCCTGTCTGTGGATGGAATGCAGATCCCAAAGTGTCTAAAACTGGGAGGTTTTGCTGTGAGGGCCCAGCAGTGGAGTCACCACCCCTGGAAGTGTCCAAAGGAAGGGCAGGATTTGGGGATTTGGGATGTGCTGGGCATGCTGGGATTGGCTGAGGTTGGGTTTGGTGACTTTTTCCAGCCTTGAAGGCTTTTCCCAACCTCAGTGATTCCATGCCAGTCTCTGCAGCTCCTGGGTTTGAGCTGAGAGTGCTGGGGAGGTGCAAAGCCAGGTGATTATGAACTCTGCTTCACACTAACAAACCCAAACGTGAGCAATTCCTGGGAATTTGCTGTTCCTGGATCCCTTCCAGCAGGAATTTACTTTTAAATTCGTACAAGGCACCTTTCAGCATCATTAAGCACCTAAACATCTTTACAGATCTGTCCCCAGGAAATCTCCTGTCCAAATCCTGCAATTTTTGGTAGTTTTACACAAAAGCAACAACATTTTCAGAATAGGAAATCCTATTTCCAGCTGAGCACAGTGAAACCCACAGCAGCTCATGCATTGCTGCAAGATTTGTGTCTCCTGCAAACCCATTTCAGTGTGTTTCACCTTCCTGCAGGGATGGAAAGAAATAATTTATTTACTGGAAGAAACAACAATTTTTCTCTCCCCTGTCCAGCTGTAGATGGGAAGAAGTTTGTCACACCTTGGCTCCACCAGAGCTGGGTTGTAGCACCTGTAAATTCAGTTTAATTAATGAATGAAACATTCATTTCTTGGCTGGAGCCAGCGGAGCTGGTGGCAGGTACAGAGTGGTTTTGCTGAAAAAAACATTCAGAAATAGCCTTGAGACCTCAACAGAACACAAAAGGAAGTGCCAAGAGGGCAATGCAAACCAAGGGACAAAATCAAAATTATCAGACAACTGGGGAACAAAAAGTGCAGTGGAATATTCAGACAGGACCTATCTGGGCAATGAGACTGTCAGATAATATCTTAAACACGTTCAGGCCAATGGACAGAGCCACTGTTTCCTCCTTTTGGTGGGGTATTTGCATATTTGAATTATCTACTCTACCCTGCTACTTTTTCTGTATGGTTTCTGCTGGGGATTGAAAATTAAGAGTTCAATTCTTATCAGAGCTGATCATCCATCTTCTAGAGGAACTGAATTTTTATAATTAATGAACAGATGACTTTTGTTGTACAATTTTTTTTGTTGCCTTCATTATTTCATTTTTTCCCCAATTTCCATGTCCTTTCTCTTGCTAAAATATAAATAAATGTAAATATAAATATATTTATAAATATAAACACATATATTAATATAATTAACATGTAATATATAAATTATAAATAACTATATTTATTAAATATGCATTTTATATATATAAAAATGTAAAATATATATATTTATAGGAATATAAAATATCAATCTGGCCTGGCTTATTCAAGGGCCCTCTTTCTGTTTGTACATGCACTGAACCTGGCTTGAGAGGATCCACACTGATCCAGGGGAGTTCTTAAGTGTTACCCCAGCAAAAAAAACCCTTTTTTCTTTTTTTTCCCATCGTTTTAGTGATGCAGTTTTGATTTGGACACAGGAGGGCACCAGAATTCCATTTCTTAAACTCCAGTTGTGCCACAAAAGAAAAAAAAAAGGACTTCAGTCTGTAAGAACGGGAATCTTTTTAATGACTTTAACTTCTCATGTAGAAACTTAGAGACATTTAGAAATTTAGAGAAAGGTGCTATTTTTGCAGCCTCATCGTTTGTAAATGTGCTGCTCTTTCAGCTATAAAGGATCCAGGTGTAAGATTGACTTTTTTAGAGCATTAAAAATGTGGGTGAACGTCAGTCACCCAAATTCTCCCCAGCTCTGATCCGTCTCATGACCTCAGAATTGGTGCTTTCATGTGGTTGAGAGTTCATTTCTGCTGTAGCCTCAATTAGAATTTAATTATTTATCCTCAGCTCAGGAGGCTCCCTGTTGATGGCTGTGTGAAGCAACTGAGAAAATGAGAAAGAAAACACAGATTTGGTGATAAAAAATGAAATAAAAGACTTTCTAAAATAACTCCACCTTTCAGTGAGGGCTGAGCTCGCCTCCTGACATTTGCAAATCCTGATATTTGATGGAACATTCCCCAAGTTCCCCCACTTGGGTAAAACCAGCCACTCCAGTTGCTACTTGCCTGCCTTTCATGCTTTGCTCTGGTTTTCATTTGCTGCCAAGAATTTGTTTCACCTGGGCTGGAAAAACACTGGCACAGCTCAGGCAGCTTATCTAAAAATCAGGGATCTTACAGTAAAATCAGGGTCTGGGCTGTCAGTTCCACTCCTGGGCAGAGAATTGGCAGCCAGAATTCCAGAGGCCTTGAAAAGGACTCGGTGTCTCCATGAAAACTTTTCCTTTTTAATGATGTGGCCCCAGATCTCAGCAGGTTCCTCATTCCCCTTCTGTCCCCTACAGGATACCTCTCATGGATTCTCCTCTTTTTTGGGGGTTGTGCTGCAGGAATCAATGCCCAGGCCAAGTAAAATAAAAAGAAATAAACAAAAAAACCAAAACCACCTTTCTCAGGAAACAGCTGGTTTCGCCCTGCTGAGCAATAACTGCCCTGGTGCTTCTCACTTGCAGTGTAAAACAACCAAAACTATGATGAGCTCTCCAGATCTTCATTCTTTAGTGCAATTAAGGAAGTGGGCAGATGTTCAAATATTCGGAATGCCCATTGTTCATGAGACAGAGGTGTCCTGTGCATGGCAGGGGGCTGGAAGCAGGTAAGATTAAAGTCCCCTCCATGATTCCATGGGTTCCACAGGCACTAATCCAGACCAAACCCAGTTCCTACAGCCCAGGAGAGATGGGGAGAGCCTGGATCTCCCCAGTTTGGCCCTAAGGCTGGGCGAACAATGTGATTTAACACCTCTTTAGGTGTTACAGAGCATCCCCATGACGGGCCTTGTGCCAGCACAGCCCACACACCTGCAGGATCCAGCCAGCCCGGTTCAGGTCCTTCGGGAGCCGGGAGGTTCTGAGCTGCTCCCCATGGCCCCAGGTCGAGGTGCTTGAACTCCAAGCCCTGCCTGGAGCAGTGGCTGCCAGCCTGGAGTGGGGCTCTGTGTCACCAAGTGCCGAGGCAGAGAACATCGAGTCTCCTGCGGTCCTGTGGCCACTTCCCAGATTCCTGGAGTGCTTCTCGAGTAACCTCCTTGTTTTCTTAGCTATTAATGAGTGACTTTTAACAGCCTTGGAGCAGCCTGGGCTGGTGGAAGGGGTTGGAATGAGATGGGTATGAAGGCCCTTCCAAGCCAAACCATTCTGTGACTCTGCAGAATCAGAGAATGTCGTGAGCTGGAAGGGACCCACTGGGATCGCTGATCCAGCCCTGCACAGACACCCCAAAATCCCACCCCGGGCATCCCTGGCGGCGCTGTCCAAACGCTCCTGCAGCTCTGGCAGCCTCGGGGCCGTGCCCATCCCCTGGGCAGCCTGGGCAGTGCCAGCACCCTTGGGGAAGAACCGTTCCCTAAAATCCAACTTTCTCTGCTCCCCAAGCTGATCTCCCCGCTCTGACTGGCAGTGAAACCCCTCGGTCACGGTGACAGCGGGGCCATTTCCAGAACCTTTCGAGCAGCAATAAGGACAGCAGGACCCAGCTCGGTCCCGAGCGCTTCCCCCGGCTCTGGCTCCGGGGCGGGGCCGTGCGGGGCAGGGAGAGCCGCCTGCTTCTCTTCCTCCTCCTCCTCTTCTTCCTCCCCCTCCTCCGCCGCCGCTTTCCCCTCCCGCTCCTGCGCTCGGCAGGAAGTTGGGCAGTGCCGGGGACTTTTGGGAGCGAGTTTGGGGTGGAGTTTGGGAGCCGGGAGCGGAGCATGGCTGGGCTGCCCGGTACGCCCGGCCCGCGCCTCCAGCGCGGGGCTGCGGCGGGCGAGCTGCGGCGCTGAGCCAAGCCCCCGAGCCCTTCGGGACCCCCGGGAGCCCCGAACCCGCCGGCATGGCCCGCTGGATCCCCACCAAGCGCGAGAAGTACGGGGTCGGTGAGTGAGTGCCAGCCGGGATGCCCCGGACCTGTGCGCCCCTTCCCATCCCTTCCCCAGCCTTTCCCAAGCCTTCTCTCTCTTCTGTACCTTCTCTCCCGCTCCATCCCATCCTTTCTCTTCCATCCCGTCCCGTTGCCTCCTTTTCCTTCCTTTCCTTCTCCTTACATCCCTTCCCTTCCCGGAGCCTTCCCCGCGCTCCCCGCACCGCTCGGGCGGTTCTGTCCCGGTGTGCGCATCCCTTTTTGGCTTCTCCCCCATTCCCGGCCTGGGCTGTGTCCCTCGCAAGTCCGGCAGTGCTCCCTGAACCCATCGGGGTGCACGGAGCTGTGTGTGGCTTTCAGGAATCACTCAAAGTTCAGGGCTGACTTGTAGCAGGGTCAAAAGTGCCCATGTCAAAAGTGAAACTGGATCCTTACAACCCAAACCATTTTGTGATTCTGTGATTGACACCTTGTGCCTCCTGCCCTGTCCTCTGTTTGAAAGGATTTTGCTGAGTGCTTGCTCGCTTGTCTCTAATAGGAACAGAGCCCTGTGGTGTTGCTGATAAAATTCCGCTTTGCTTGAGGGTTTTAAACCCACAGTTTTGAGGTTCTTGGTGAGAACTGGGCAGGGAACAGTTGGCAGGAAGCCACTAATGACACAGAGAGCTTTTGATAATTTATTTTACTGAGAGTGATCTTTTGTGCCACTGGTGCTCAGCAGTGGACTGCTCAAAGTGAGAAAAAATTACTAATTTCGTGCTTGCGAAGTGTTCATCACCCCAGCTCCCATGGGGGTGTTCAGCCGGCGAGTTTGAAGGTGAAAAACCTCACCCTGCATGATTTTCACAGCGAATTCGAGCTGGGTGACCCTTCCTCTTCGAGGCAGCTTTGCAGGGAGGCAGCTCAGCTCCTGGCAGGAGACATTTTACACCGCACAGCCTTATCTGGTTTCTCCAGGTAACTGGCAGGGTGTGGAGCCCTGACACCCTGAACTTTGTTTCTTGCTGTTTATCCGTGGAAGCGTGTGCATGGCCTGCTGAGACCCGAGCATCCGTCATTCCCAAACTTTGGTGGGTAATGTGATAACCCATATCCTGCCGGGGTGATGGGCTGTGCTGTCCTGTTCTGAGCACACCTTTGAGCGAGGCTGTTCCCCAGCTCAGCATGGCCTTGGGCAGCAGATGAATCACAGGCACTCCCTGCCTTCCCTTTTATTTATTACCTTCCGGGGTGAGTTTTCCGTACCGGCTGCTCCTTGTGACAGCTTCTCTCCCTGGGCTGTGAGTAAGCAGGGCGGAGGGAAAAAATGCCTCTTCCTGCATGTTTCCACTCAAAAAGTGTGTGGTGGGACGCACACTGTGACTCCTGGGTGATCAGCTGGGTGAAAAAGGTGCTTTTTTTCCCTCGAAGTGACATGGGAGCTGTCCTGCTGCAGCTCTGGGGTTTAATTTGCAGCCAGGACAGATAAGGTTGATCCACAGGCAGTGACAGAATTATTTAGGCACTGCCTGGCTTTGTCATGCAGTGTTTGACTCAGTTGCATTGTGATTTTGTCAGTTTGGTGTTTGCAGGCTCGATGAGTTTCTTATCTGCAAGTGCATCCCGTGCTGTGCTCGAGGACCCAGCCCCGACTGGTTTGGGGTTACCTGGGAGGGGTTGATGAGGACTGAAAAGGAGGTTTGAGCTTTTGGGCTGGGGATGTAGCAGCGGTGAAGTGGCTGCAAGGAGGGGAATGGGAGGGTTGTGTGGGACGGTGACAAATCCCAGCCAGGCGTGGAGTGCAAGGACACCACTTTTGTTCAGAAAGAAAAGACGAGATTGAGGAAGAATCTTACCAATCCATATAAACATCTCCAAAGGGTGCCAGGATGGTGCCAGACCCTTCCCAGTGATAAAACAAAACACAAGTTCCACCTCCCCATGAGGAGGAACTTTTGCCATAGAGGTGGCAGAGCCTTGGAACAGCTCTAGGGAGGGCCTGGAATGTCCTTCTCTGGTGACATCCCAAACCTACCTGGATGATTCCTGTGTCACCTACTCCAGCTGACCCTGCCTGGGCAGGGGCTTGGACTGGATGAACTCCAGAGGTCTTTTCCACCCCTAAATATTCTGGATTCTGCACAAGAATACCCAAATTGTAGCTGCTGGTGATCTCTGCTTTGGAAACTGCTGTAGAACTCCTCGGATTTATTTAAAACACGACCCTGGAAGTCAAGGCAATGAAGTGGGGAATTCCAGGAAGTCAGCGGTGTGATTCAGTGTCACTTGTCTGATTCCTGCCCTTGAGGAGGGTTTCTGTTCTGGGTTAGGTTTTACAGAGCCATGGATTGTGAGTTCAAATGAATTTGCTGGGTTTTAGTTCTGTCCTGAGCTGGTTGAAGCCAGGGAGCGCACCCGTCCCCGCAGATGGCAGAGGGCTGAGTTTGGAGTGGCGGCAGCAGGGAGGGCAAAGCTGGGAATTGCAGTGTTTTTAGGAAAGGGAACGTGAGAGACAAGCAGCTTGCAGCTCTTGCAGCTTCTCCCTCGCAGTGAATTCTTAACCAAGTGACAGATGGGATTTGGGGAGGGACAGGAGCTCGTGGGCAGCATCTCCTCCCTGAGCAACAGGGTTTGCTGGGCCTGACAGAGCCTCCTTGCCACAGATTGACCTCTGCTGTGGGAATGAAAGAGCATCTTCTTGGGAAGCTGATTGATTTTTGGGCCACACTGAATGAAATAGTCTATTCTGGTCATGTGTTTCTCTCGAAAAGGAGTTGTTACTTGGAGAAATCCTTTCACAAAGACTCTTTCCAGTCAAAAAACTCTGCTCTGAGGGAAAGAACACCTTCATGAACTCCCAAGATTTTTAACTTTTATTATCTATTTGTTTTATAGTTATTTACATTTGTTTAAAGTTACTAACTTAGAGCATAAGGAACCAATAATGTCCTTACTTTCTTTTTCTGCTGGCAGTAAACTGGATTTGCACTGCCTTTAACTCAAGTGCTACACCTGGGTTGTAAAAGCAATTCTGTCATTGCTCATCAGCTGCTCTTCACTTTGTGAAGGCTGTTAATGGAGTGAGAGAACCTGGAGTCTGTGGAATCCTAAATTAGTCTGTGATAAATCCGTTATAAACAAGCAGCCAGATCCCTTTTCCTGACTCCTTTCTGCTGGAGTGGCCGAGCACTGGGAGCTGCCCCAGCTCCGGAGTGGTCCAGAAGTGGCAGAGCTGGGTTTGGGGCCAGGGTGGTTTCCAGGTGTCTGCAGGGATGATGGATCAGGCTCACCAGGTTCTTGTGGCACCTCTTACTGTGAACCAACAGGATGTGAAGTGTTTGTTCATCCTTGTGCAGCTGAAAATGCACCAGTTGTTCAGTGAATACACAGTTCTGAACTTCCAGAATCAGGAATTATTAACTCAGGCTTGGTTGGAAGAGCTCTGAGATGTGAAAACCAGAATAATTTGCATTTTGGTGAAGGTGGTGGCTTGCACCTGGATGCACTGGGAGGGCTGGGGGGGATTCCACTGCCCTGAGGGAACAGCTGGAGCTGTGCCAGGGGGTTTTAGGATTTTGGGAAAGGTTTTTCCCCCAGAGGATGCTGGCACTGCCCAGGCTCCCTAGGGAAGAGCCAGAGCTCCAGGAGCATTGGGACATCACTGCCAGGAATGTCCAGGGTGGGATTTTGGGGTGTCTGTGCAGGGCTGGCTCGATGATTCTGCTGGGTCCCTTCCAGCTCAGGCCATGCCATGATTCCTTGACCCTCATTTTTGGGGCAGTGTGGCTGTTCCACGAAGTTTGTATAGTGGGACTGGTGAGGAGTCCTGGACAGGGGTACTGTCAGGTTTTGGTGGGTTCTCACACCCCTGGCACCTGTCCTGGCTGGCAGGACCAGAGCCTTGGGCTGCTTTATTTGAAAAGAAATGCTGAGATCTGTCCTTGGTCAGGTGGTGGCTCCGTCAGGGCTCAGGAATGGCAGCAATTCCTCAAACCCTGCCAGCCCCTGCGTGATTGATGGAGCAGGGAGGGAGCTGCAGGACCAGCTCTGCTCACTGGTGGTTTGATTTGGCTCCCCAGCCAAGATGAAGAGAATAAAGCAGGGATTGCTTGAAGGCCTTCAGCAGAGACCCTTTGGGTAGCCAGAGCCTCACAGAGGCTGCACCCCAGATGCACACACCAGTTTTTCACACAAGTCTGGCCCATTGTCATATCAGGGGTTGATTCTCTAATTACAGCTTCAGGTAATGAAGTAATTCACCCTCAGTTCGCTTCCCCCCGATTCACTTTTGTTTATACTTCTAAGGCCTGAGGCAGAGGGTGTCCTTGGTTCTCAGGCCTGGAAGTATTGTTTTGTCTGCCCAAAATGTAAAGACAGCTTATTAACACTCTCTGTGGAGTTCACAGTTATGCACTAATGCAGTACAGGATCTGAAAAATATAAAATCTAAAACTTAAGGCATCACCTGGGGTGCTGGGCCACCAGCTGCTGGTGTCCTGTCCCCATGCCAGGCACCTGCAGGGCTCCCTCCCCAGACAGTCTGGGATCAAAGCCCTGTACAGTGCTGGAAGTTGTGCATCATGCCAAATTCGGGCAAAATCCATATTTGTCTCAACATGCTCCTTGCTTTTTCCATTCCTGTTCTGACTTGGAACTCACATCCACTGTTGTGCCTCTGGTTGCTTGCAGGGGCTCCAGAGGGATGGAGAAGCCAATCCCTCCATTCCTGCTGCAGAACTAACCACTTCCCGTGGATGCAAACACTCTGCTCATTTCTCCTGCTTTATTGTCATTTATGGATAAAAGTTGCCTGATGGCAATGCCAACGAAATTCCCAGTGGGGAAAAGCAAAACCTTGGCATTGTTTGCAGCACTGAACTGAATCTTCCCAGCACATGACATTTTATTTCTGATTTAGTTTCCCAACTTTTATTGCTGTGTCTGCAGTTGATTTGATGTGAAATTTGGCCCTGCTGCTTCTTGCTTTCATAGTTCTTTCTATTTTTTTAAAATCCATATTAGCTAGGGCCTGTCTTC